TATGAAATTTCAAATTAGATAAATACCAAAACAAAATGTAACCCAGAAGAAAGAGATTTGAATATTTCAAGCCTTCATCTTAGCATTGTTATTAAACAGTGAGAAAGGACCAAGTGTTTAAGTATATGTATGAGAAATGCTGAATATTTTTGGTTCCCAGTTTTCCTACAGCTCTACGCAAACACTATAGATATATAATGATAATTACTGCACGAGCAGCACCTTAGTGTCTGAGGGTTCGGCAGTCCATGATAAGTCGGGAAGAAGATGAACACTGACTGCTTTTCTGGGGGTGGTAAACTAGATAGGGACTCTTATTTTTTAAATTATACATTGAGTTCATCTGAATTAATCACTAAAACTGCTATTTTGTAATTACTATCCTCAGCGATAATATACATAATTCAATTGATGAAGGAGTTGCTTAAAAATTTCAAGGACAAAAGGAAGATTATTCTTATGCAAAATCCCTAATCTTGGTTACCTTTTTCCCTGGGGAGCAGCTATTGAATCAAAAGTCCTGCTCCAACAAAATTACTTATTTGTATTTGAGAATATAAATATGTTCAACTAAAGGAAAAAGGTCTTATATATGTTTATTAGAATAAAATTAGTACTTTTATCCCTATTAGTTGGTTTTATTCCTCATCAAATTGAAGCCCAGATTTACAAACACATGTTAATTTTCCCTCCTGTAAAGCAACTTTAAATAGAGATGGCCCTTTCAATCCATTAGTAAAATGAACAACCTTTTGAAAGTTTCAATTAGATATTTGCATAAGAAAAATGATTTCTAGTTAATTATTATAAACACAATATTCTGGATACATAGACGTATAATATATCTGGGTGATAGAAGACACAATGACTTAAAAAAAAGATTCTAAATTTTAACCAACTCCAATTATATTTTTAATACTTTCCAAATGACTATTCAAGTTATAAGACCAGGAAATCAAAAGAAAACATTGACCATTCACATTAAGTCCAATTTCTTTATTAAAAAACCCCAAAAATCCTAAATATATATTAGTCTTTGCTCTTTCTGATCTGTAATTATTTGTTAATAAATATACGCATTTATATTTATTTTTATTTTTTTAGGGACTATACAAATTATTGCACCAACATGATACAATTAATAGCAGTTCAAAGAAGTAAGTTCAAAAGTCTTATGAAGATATTACTATGTCAAAAAAAGAGAAATACTTATTAGAAAACAATGGGTGAGAACATAACCATGAGAAAAATTCGTTACCAAGTCACCAGAGAATATGACCCACAGCCATTTATTACTACCAATGTTGACCAGCCATCAGCTTACATCAGTTACTATATATATGAAAAACTCAACAGTGAATCATTGTTCTTGAGTTAGTAAATGACAATAAATCAGTTGTCGTAACAAGACTTTAAAAAGGCAAAATTGGTTTCAAATACATTTTTAAACAGAAATCAATTTCAAATGCAAAAGGATTGTAAATGCCTAAAAAAGATCCCTAGAGAGTTTGAATTTCAAATTCTTCACAAGAAAATACAACTGTCTTCTTACAAAAGTTATCACTATTCTGTGGGAAAATGATTCTATTCAATTCAATAATGTTATGAGATGATGTGAGAAGACTAATTCTAAATAAAAAGGGCCAAGAAAAGTTTTTTGGAAGCAAGGAAATCTGTATTGCACCTTGAAACAGACCTTATTAGGCAAATGGAGGAAATGGCTCAAGCAAAAGGAGCTGGGAATGCACAGAAAGTGTGCCAGGATGCACACTAGGTTAAGGAAGAGTAGGGAAAGAGATGCCTAAGAAGGTACTAAACTCTGAGGGACTCTGAATGTGTTCGTGGCTGAAGCACATATTTGCCCTTGTGTTTACGTAATGGGGAACCTTGTAATTTTTTCAACAAAAGAATAGCAAAGTTGGATCTGTATCAGGAAGATAAACTGGCAGCAACAGGCAGGACAGAGAGACAGAAGATACTGCAAAAACTTCAAAAGCAACTAGAGATGACAATAAGCCTTCTCTTCATCTCATAACACTGAGCAAATTGCACATAACAAACTTTTTTGATTTCTTGCCTGGGAAGAACAAAACTATGTAGCAGCAAAGAATCCTATAATATTGAGAAAACCATACTTGAGCACAGTACTGCTCCGCAGTAAAGAGTACATTCATATTCATGTAAATAACTCAGGAAAAGTTTCACTCAATTTTTTACTGTTTTTATAAAGATGAACAAAAAGGATATTGAAAATGTTATGTGCCTTATAAGGTACTGAAAGGAAGACAGTAGTCCTAAAATAAGGACTGAAATATTTCTTCGTAGTTAAGAACAAAACACAGCACCTACAGCATCTTGAAAAGGAGGTTTATGTCCCTCCAAATGGCATCCAGAGGCCTGGAGGAGATTCAAACAAACGCACAGAAGCAATACAGCATGTGCTCTGGGAACAGGCCCTGGTTTGAATACCAGCACAGTGGCTTCTTAGTTATGTGATCTTGAGCTAGTTAAACTCTCAGTTGGTTTGGGCATAATGAACACGTGTTGTGATGATTTATAAAGCACCTAACCCAGTGCTTGGCTCTGGTACTTAACAAAAGTATTCCACAAATTATAGTAATAATGATAATAGCTATTATTATTATAATAAAAAAGAACATCTCCATTAGAAAAAATTTAAAATAACCCAAATCTATGTTAGGTTTTCAATTTCTAATTCCAGACAAATTACAAAATTTTATCTTTATGGTAAATCTTAGAAATATTTTATGCTTAAGAACAAGGCCACTTAAAAAACTACTACATCCTATCTTTGTTGTAATTAGCCTAGTACCAAGTCTGAGATTTCTATTAAAATGTAATATTTGTTACACTGAAGGTCTGATTTAATAACAGAAGAAAATACAACTGCTTATCTAGCCAAGGAGAATTTGAGGGAAATGCCTCTACATCACACAATGTTTTACTTTGTATCTGCTCCACTTCTTATACTATAAACAAAAGCCAGAGAAAGAGCTTGCTAGAATGAATCCTTGTAAGGTGTAAAAGAAGAGTAGGGAGGAGATTGTCCCTCACCCCAGCCCCCACTCTCTTCACACACACCGGTGTCCCCAAACAGTGATCTTCCCTTTTTCATGTTGCTTACTCACTTCTAAACAATCAACCAAAGCTGCGTCTCGAATAGTGACAACCCAAGCAAGAGTGGTATTTATCAGAGGTGATCACACTGGTGGTTATCAGGCCGGAAATCTTCCTTGCACCCTTCTAAAGTGGCAGCTTCAAAATTCAGCTCGGTTGATGTGTTAACTTCGCACACACACCACTAGAGACTCCACTACAAGCCGACAGAAAGGAAAGCCAAGAACCTACTTCATTTAATTCTACGTACGCTAGGTTTAAATTATGCATTAAGGCAAATAAAATTTCCATCCTTACTCCTTTTCTTTGAGTTCCAATGATACTACTTAAAAGGACCTAATTGGTTACCATTAAAACATTTTACTATTCGAAGATTTTTCTACAGATTTTAGGAAAAGGCTTTCTTACCATTCGATGCTCACTGAAACTTTTTGCAGCAACTATCAGTTTCTATGGTAAATCGACAGGTTGGGGCCCAAAAGGTCCTGAATATAGGGGTGGTAAACGCAGGTGCCTGACAAAACCAGGACCTGCCAGGTGGAGACAGTAAGCGCACGACTAGAGGAGAATGCAATCGGCCTCGGATTTAATTCCGCGGGGTTTCGGGGTTTTAATCAACTGTTTGTTACTCACGCTCAGAATACGTGAAGACTCATTGTTTCCTTATATACTTTTTATTTTAAAATACTAGCGAACGAATCTCCTAAGCTTTCCTCGCATTTAAAAACCAACAAGAAAGCAGCTGAGTCTAGCGCTGGAGCGAGTCGCTCCTCACCGCGAGTTTCTGGCTTCTCGACGCCGACCACCGCGGCCTCCTCCCGCCCCGGAACAAAGGCGATCACCCTCAGACCCCGAGCACAGGACTCAGCCCTCACACGCACACACACTCCCTCTCCCCTCCCTTCGCGGGGGGCCCTCAAACGCCCCTCAGAACTCACCTCCCGCGGGCCGCCACGTCCGGAGAGCGCGGTGGACGCAGCGAAGCTGCAGCAGCGGCCGCCTCGGGCGACTGGAAGGTGGCCTCGTCCCCACCCTCCGGCGGGTGTGCGCGCCGCGGGCGCCTGGCCAGGCAGGGGCACCGTGGGAGGCAGGCGCGCGCCCCCCGCCCCCACTCCCGGCGGGTTACTTGAGCCAGAGCTCCCAGGTCCCTCCTCCACTGCCCCGTTGTCCCACCGCCACCCAAGGGTCCCGCAGCACCGCCCTCCGTCACCCGCTCCCCTCCTCTGCGCCTGCGCTGCAGCGCTGGTCGCTCCCATTCAAACCGACAACGCCCCGCGTCTTTCGGATCCACCAATGGCCCGCGTGGGGGGCGGGGCGGGACGGCCCGTCCAGGGCGGCGGGCACAGCGTGTCAGTCGGTGTGGGTTTTGGGGTGCTCGGTGTTCNGAGAGGAGCAACAGGTGGCAGGATGGCTCAGCTGGTGAGAGCACGTGCTCCTAACAACAAGGTTTCCGGTTTGACTCCCACATGGGATGGGGGATTATGCCCCTCCACAACTAAGATTGAACATGGCACCTTGAGCTGAGTGGCCACAAGCTGCCGCCAGTGGCCGGATGGTGACTGGACTTGGAGCTGAGCTAGCTGTGCCCTCCACAACTAAGATTGAAGGAAACAACTTGGCTGTTCCTCTTCCCCAATTACACAACACTGTTCCCCTTCCCCAATTCCCCAATAAAATCTTTATAAAATAAATAAATAAAATAAATAAAAGCTCACCTTTTTAAACAACTAAACTATAGCAGTCCCGCTTATCTGCAGTTTTGCTTTCTGTAGTTTCAGTTAACCTGCAGTCAACCAAGGTCCAAAAATATTACATTCAAAATTCCAGAAACAAACAATTCATAAGTGAAAATGCATGCAGTTCTAAGTAATGAAATCTTGCGCCAACCTGCTCCATCTGACCAGGGATGTGAACCATCCCCTTGGTCCAGCATATGCTTCCCACCCCTTAGTTACTTAGCAACCTCCTTGGTTATCAGATTGACTGTAGTATCTGCATTCAAGTGACTCTTATTTTACTTAATAATGGCTCCATGAGAGTTAGTGATGCTAGCAATTCAGATATGCCAAAGAGAAGCTTTAAAGTGCTTCTTTTAAGTGAAAAGTATGTTCATATAGGAAAAAACATAGTATATACAAGGTTCGGTACTATCCACGGTTTCAGGCATCCACTGGGAGTCTTGGAATGTATCCTTCACGAATAAGTGTGGGGGGAGGGAGGCACTGTATACATAAACTTCCTGAGGAACATTTATATATATATTTTTTTTTTTATTTTTTTTTTTTTTAAGATTTTTATTGGGGAATTGGGGGGATGGGAACAGCGGTGGGGAGTTAGGGGAAGGGGAACAGACAAGTTGCTGTTGTTTTGTTCTTCAGTCTAGTTGTGGAGGANGTATTTTGTCAGTCCAAATTGACTAAGACACCAACTTAACCCAGACCCCCAAAATTTCCACAGAAATAGCTCCAAGAAATGTGAACTCTCAATCAAATCAGAAATCATACAAAGAAATAAGGCATCTTGTATAAGAATTAACAGGGGGAAAAAAACAGATTAACAGAATCAAATTCATAAAGACTTAGAAATTGGAGTTACCAGTCATAGGTTGTAAATAAGTATGTTTAATATATTTAAAGAAATAAAGTCAAAGATTGAAAACATAAATAAAGAACAAAGTTCTGAGGAAAAATGACCAGGCAGATTTAAAAAAGAATCCAACAAAACTTCTAGACTTAAAAATGCATAATAATTAGAATTTAAAATTCAATGGACAGGTTTAACAGCAGATTGGACATGCTGAAGAGAGAATTAGCAAAATGGAAGATAGACCTGAACTATTTTTTCTCATGTAAAAGAGAAACACGGAGGATAGATCTAACATGTGTCCAATCAAAATTCTAAGATGAGAAGAAAAATGGGCGATGCTTTAAGCAGGAATTTTGGAAAGAAGAAAAAAAAGAAATTTACACCTGGACATAGGTAATGAAAATGCAGAGTACTGAAAACAAACAAGTAACCTTAAAATCAGTAAGAGTGTGGGAGTGGAGTCAAGGGAAGTGTAATAGATATGTATGATATTGGAGGAGGGAAGTGGGGTGGCAGATTGGGGGAGGGGGGTTCTCACCTCGAGGGGTAAAATGTCTAACTATTGCACTGTGTTGTACAGCTGAAACTAATTCTAAAATATTTGTATTTCACAATAAAAAATAATTTTAAAAAAATCAGTAAGAGTGAAAGGGCTGATTATCTCCAATAGAAGAACAATTAGGCTGATCGGTGACTTTGCAACTGCAAAAATGTAAGCCAGAAGAATATCTTTGATGTGCTCAGAAAAAATGACTGTCAACCTAGAATTATTTAACCAGTGGAAATATCTTCCAAAAATGAGTGAAATACAGGCATTTTCAGGTACACAAAAACTGATTTTGCCATCACAGACCCTCACTCACTAACTTTTTCAAGAAGAAAAATTATCTTAGATGGATGATTAAAGATGTAGGAAGGAAATGATACCATATTAAGTGGTAACTATAGAGGGTGCCAAAAAAAATGTGTACACATTTTAAGAAAGGATAAAACTGTATTAAAATTACACTGATGATACCACTTTAAGCACCTCTTATAATTGCAGAAGTCAAACGTGACTTGTATTCATTTTTTTATCAGTATATATTGAGTATTACAATTTTAATACAAGTTTTTCCTTTCTTAAAATATGTATACATTTTTTGGCACCCTCTGTATGCGGATAAATATAAACAACTATTAACTGATGTCATTGCTCTTTCTGACCTTGCAAATTCACTCATTCATCTGTTCAATATCACATATATTTAAACGGCTATTATGTGCCAAACACTATGCTGGGTGCTAGGGACACAGCAGTGCGGGTTGTACTATATCATTCCCACATCACTAGATGAAACTCCCTGGTGTTGACACTGCTGACAGGCTTTCCTGACCATTTCTCAGTGCCTCGGAGAAGGGAGAGAACATTGAGAGTGTGCATAGCCTTATAACATGNAAAAGAGGGCTCTATGAAAGGAACAGAGGGACCGTGTGAAAGTGAACAAAGCAGCCTCAGTTCTGTAGGCTGTGTCACAACTCTCGCGTTTCCAGCTGTTAAAAACAAACTTGTGTTGACTGCAGAATCGCTGGTTCCCAGGAAAATTGGGTGGCAGGTTTTACTGAGTTACAGGCAGCTACATTCCGAATATACTGGGAAGAATAAACTTTATTTCCACTCACTTCGTCTCCATATCAACTTAACTAAAAACGTAGGTCTCAGTTTGTTCTCCTTCACAAAAATAACAAGATACTCTGGGCTAAAGAATCTGATTGATTTTTTTTTTTTAACCTGAGCCATCCTGCCACCTGTTGGCAGCTTGGCTCAGGCCGGGCATCGAACCGCTGTTGCTCAGAGCTTGCACTCTTGAGCGAGCTCTTAACCAAGAATCTGATTGATTTAATTAGATTATTTCTCAGATATCTCTCCACTGAAATGAAATTTAAATGTTTCTACAGGGTTAAGGATATGTTAAAGAAAACTCTAGTTTCAGTATCTCTGAATGATGGTCATAACCAGTGGTCCAAACACCATTTCTCTTATTGGGACGTATTATGGCAAATTGGTTAAAATGACAGTATCATTTGGCATCAAACTAGACAACATTTGAGTTCCACCTCTGCCACTTACTGGCTAAATGACCTTGAATGAGTTACTTATCCTCTTTAGCCTTAGTTTCCTCAACTGTAAAACACAGATAATAAATCCCCTTTTCACAAGGGTCGTTGTGATGTTTCAGTGAGGTAAGTTTTTGTTAAGTGGTTAACATAATGCCTGACTGCTCAATAAATGGTACCTATTATCATTATCAACAACTATCTTTAATATCAGGTACTTATAAGCAACAACTGAATTAGCAGGCTGAATTATCTCAGAGGTAGGTATTACAATTCCTTCTTACTCATAAATTCTTCTTTGGGGTGTTGATATGAAAGCCACAAAGGAAGCACAATAGGTCAAGTTCAACATGTCCAAATGAATTATTATTTTCCCCTCCCAAAGCCACATGTGGCTTTCTATCACTCATATTAGTTATCTTTATCTTGCTCAAGTTCAATGTCACTCTCCTACTTGAAAACCTTCAGTGATTTCACATTTGATTTAAAATAAAATCTAAATTCCCTGCCATGGCCCACAAAGCCCTAAGTCATCTTGTCCTACCCACCTCTCTACTCTCCCGCATTTCCTTCTCCTCCTGGCACACTTTCCTCCAAGTACAAAGAACATTCCTCTAGACCTAGAATAGATCATTCTCTGGGTTCTGTCAAGGCCTTCTCCCTGGCAGTTCCTTCTCCCTAGGTTTCCTCCGCAGTCTCTTTCAATGGTGGCTTCTTTTCAGCCCTCAGTGTTCAGCTTATTCATTACAGTACTCAGCAAGTATTCAACAAATTTCTGCTATGTGTCGGGAACTGTTCTAGGTGCTGGGAACATAGTAATGAGCAAGACAGACACAGCCCCTGCTTTTATGGAGTTCAATAAAAATAAATAACAAGAAAAATATCCGGATGTGATAGGTATCATTGAAAGAAGTCAGAACACCATGATGTCAGAGTGAGTGCCTGAATGACTACTTTACATTGAGGGTCAATGTAAGAAGGTTTGCTGAGAAGATGGTATTCAAACTGAGATTTGAGTTACAAGGAGGAGCCAACTTTTAAGCAAATCTCAGGGAAGAGTACGTTAGGCAAAGGGAACAGCTAATGCAAAGTCCTGTGAGGACAAGCTTTGTGGGTTGAGAAATTGGAAGAAGGCCACTGTGGCTTAAGTGAAGTGAGGGGGAGGAGAACATACAAGATGAAGTCACACCAGATCATGTAGGCCTTTTAGGCCAGGGTAATGAGTTTGGGCTTTATTTTCTAAATTTTTTAGTAGTCCATGAGAGATTTTAAGCTTGAAAATAAACTCATTTGTATATATTTTTAAAAGAGGACTCTGAAACAAATCCAGACTTTGAGA